ACCGTGCATGCCACAATCTTTTATAGATTAACTACCTTCCCCCTCTTAATATACACACTTGCCCCTGCTGCAGGTCTGTTTCCAGCCTGGCCTGGAATCAGCAATAAAAAAGTAGTTTTACATGGAAAACTCAAGAGCAGAGGGCATTCTAAAATTTCTGAAGTACCACTGCCTAGATGTCAATTTGGAAATATAATTTTACCAAATCCATTCTTTTAAGAAATCTTCCCAACACAATCTGTCATTACAGCCTCTTAACTGAAGCAATACAAGACCTGAGCAAGATCCACACTCACCAATAAACCCTTTATTAGCAGAATCTGCTGCAGGTGCAGCAAGTTCCTGGAGAAACAAAAAAGACAAGATTTTCCAGCTATTCTATATACAGCTAGTCATTTTCTTGAAAGTTATCATTACAATGAGATTTACAAAAGCCATTTTTAATCAGTCCTTGTCTGTAAATTTCCTATGGAAAAACTCAGTACAGGGGCATGCAGTGATTTGGCTCATAGTTCATGGCAGGCCAGCAGTAAAGTTGAGGCTACAAGGCACTTGATAGTCCAGCCAACTAATCCCCAGTGCACTTATTGATCAATATTCAGTAACTTTTCAATTATATACCTTTTATCTAGAAATAACAAGGAGTTTATATTTGTATACATCTTTTCCCATACATGATGGGCACCACAAAAAATACATGTTCTCAGACTACACAGGTAAGATTAGGTAATTAAATTCTATATTAACTTTCACGTCTGAAAATAACTGGTGAAAGACTGTAATTGTGTCTGATTGGCACATTATTGTAACTCTGTGGGCGATTCATTCTAAACACCAATGCGCAAATTCTGCTAACAGATAAATTAAAATAAAACCAACCATACCGCTTTCACTCCACAAATCACCGTAGTATTTCCTAATTTCACCAGGGCAGAACCATCTGCAGTTGTAATTGAACCTGAAGAGAAAAAGTACTGTTCAATAAAATCTATTTTTCATTCAGAGAGCATTAATTAACATCCACCTTCACAAAGCGTTAACTTTCCATCACTTTATACTAAACAGAGGATAAGCAACGTCTCAAATCCAGAGTGGGACAGAATCTCTATATTAAACCATCACACAGAATGACTGAGGCTGGGACAGCTGGAATTCATCTGGTTCAACATCCCTACTCAAGAAGGGCCACCTAGAGCTGGTTGCTCAGAACTGTACCCAGATGGCTTTTGATTATCTCCAAGGAAGGAGACTCCACAACTTCTCTGGTCAACCTGTGCCAGTGCTTCATCACTCTCAGAGTAAAGAAGTGTTTCATCATGTTCAGAGGGAACATCCTGTGTTTCAGCTTGTGCCCATTGACCCATGTTCTGTTCCTGGGCACTAATGAATGGAACCTGGCTTTGTCTTTCCCACACCCTCCCTTCAGGTATTTATAAACATTGCCCGGCATTGGACACAAGACTCCAGGTGTGGCCTCACTAGTGCTGAGCAGAGAGCAGGATCATGTTCCTTAAGTGCTGGCAATGCTGTGCCTAATGGAGCCCCAGATAACATTGGCTTCTTTGCAGCAAGGGCACATTGCTGGCTCATTTTCCCTCTGCTCGAGGCAGGTGCCCACCAAGCTCAGAACACAGCAGAAGCCAGGACTCAGTGTCCCTCCCACAATGCTCAGGCATCAATTTTGTGCTGGTCAGTGTATGCCTTGTCGCTGCCTTCAGCATCTATAACATATGCTGCTGACCTTAGACAAAGACAAGATTCCACAACCACCTAAATTGTGCTGCACATACCTGGACAGGAGCAGACCCGAGTAATTACACTGTGCACATTAGCCCAGGATCAGGACTGAAAACAATGTTAAAGTATATTACTGTGCCATGCATTCTCTTTCATGCTTACTGAAATGGTAAATAAAAATCCTTTCTCTTCCTTGTTTCAAAGTAAGAACCAAGAAAACCGATTAGCAAGTCATAAAGGCCACTATTATAACCTGATATTAATAATACCTCCCCCATTATTATTATTATTATTCCAAATAAGCACTTGCCTATGTTGACAGTGGTTGCTCGGAATTCACCTAACTCCCTTCCATCAGGTCGACAGTTCTCTTTCTAAACAAAAATTACAAAGTTCAAATTAGAAAACATATTTTATTAAATAATACATTAATATTTATGCTATAGGAGTTGATATAAAATAATATTCTCTTCTTTTTAGCAGAAATATACAGCCTCAAAAATGCTAGGGAAAACTTGGTCACACTCTAGTTGGTTTTTCATCAATTGATGAAAATTGATGTGGTTCTAGGCCTGCAAAAAAATCCCCGATTTTTAAAATTTATTATAATTTATTTAGAAAATATAACAATAAATGGATTGTCTCAAAGGTAAGTATTACAGGCTAGATTCAGAACACCATCCATGAATGAATACTCGTTGGTAACTTAAAATGAGAGTTTCCACCTGTCTGCACTGTTAAGGTTTCGTAGGCAATTCCCCTCCTCCATCCCCACCTAGTGGAGCACTAAAGAGAGTGAACTAAAGCAAATCAACACCCAAAAACCCATAACATTCAAATACCATCAGGTAGAAACTGCACAGTACAAGAAAGACCCTTAAGTTAGAAATTGAACAATACTCCATCGTGTTAGATCTGAAGAACCACAAGAAAGAAAAAATTCATTATAGGCAATTTATACAGGCATCTCATGTTTTACTCACCAAAAACCTTCTGTAATATTCCAATGGTTCCACAGTTCTAAAACAAATAGAAAGAGAAGTTCACATGCAAGCTCTTGAGTAGGCAAGAGATAGCAAAAAAAAAGATAAGCAAGCACTAACCCACAACAACAAATAACTGGAGAATCAAGATGCCTAGCAGTATGGCAAAGCAAATGCTAAGCAAAGCTGCTTAGCAATATGGTTACGGAAAGATGAGAAAACTCTGAACTGATCTGTTTTCCTACATTCAGTTCGAAAATGCTTCCTCCTTACAAGGAACCTGTCTGCACATATACCTAACAAACACTACTAGCTTTCACCTCAGTAATATTAGTTATAAATCAACAGAAGTGTTTACTGAACAGACGGGTGTAGAATGGTTTTCAAGAAATGCAGAAAGCATAATTTTATAACTGTGTCTGAAATATCTGTTAGTTCAAGGACTGCATTCAGATGTACAAAATGGTATAAAACAATTTTAAATCCTACAATTTTTCTTAGAACCTTTGAGAAAATATAAAATTACAAAATATGCTTCGTGCAGTGCTTCAGGTGAGAAATAATTAACACTTATTATTAATTACATGCTACTACCAGTGTTTGTGTATTAGTATTGTAAGCAAGGATCATTAATGTAAAAAACAACCCCATCTTTTTTTTATAAAAGTGTTCTTAATACTCAAACAAAGCAATCGCAGTTTTGTTAATATAGTGCTTCTGAAGGAAAAACCAAGAAAAGATAAATGGGAAAAGCAAGTTTTCCAAATGCGAACTAACATACAGAGATATCACAAACATAAGGGCAAGCATCAATTAGCTCCTGTTGGCTCCATATATGTTGGTCCTGTACTACTGGTTCTCTGAAGCTCAACAAAACACCTGTTCTCTTCCAATTCATGTAAAAGCACTTGCTAAACATTGTTTTGCACATTTAAGACATAAATACGGAAGCAAGAACACTAGAACAGGTTGCCCAGAGAAGCTGTGAATGCCCCATCCCTGGAAGAGTTCAAGGCCAGGTTGGATGGGGCTCCGAGCAATCTGGTCTAGTGGCAGGTGTCCCTGCCCACGGCAGGAATCAGGTGATCTTTGAAGATTCCCTCTGACCCAAAACATTCTACTATTCTAAAACGAGTAGTTATAAATGAGAAGCCACTGAATTCCCTACAGTTTTAATCTCCTTGTAATGCTATCGGCTGTGTCAGGTTTAGGGTGGATATCAGGAAAAGGTTTTTCACCCAGAGAGTGTTTAGATGGTGGAAGACGTTTCCCAGGGAAGTGGCCACAGCACCAAGCCTGACAGAGTCCAAGAAGGTTTGGACAACGCTCTCAGGCACGTCGTGTGACTCTGTGTAGGGCCAGGACTTGGACTTGGTGATCCCTATGGATCCAACTCGGGATACTCTGCGATTCTGTGACACCAGGCCACATTGAACTCCGCACTTTGCCAGGCCTTTTCCCGGCTGGACACCTCTTGCTCGCTCAGCCCCCTCCCACACATCGGGGCCCTGCAGGCCCCTCAACACCGACCCCATCCCGCTCCTCTCGGAGAGGGCGCGGGGGGGGCCCAGCGGCCCCGCGGGGCCCGGGCGGCGCTGCCGCGATCCTCGCGCGCGAGCGGGACCCCCGGAGCGGGGTTGGCGGGACCGCGGCCACCAGGCCCTGCACTTACCTGAACGCAGCTGCCATGGCGCCGCCGCCCCAGATGTTGCGCTCCCTGGCGGCAGGCTCTGCAGGCGGACCGGCCTTGGCGGCGGCGGTCATATCGGCGGCACTGCCGGGGCCCGGCCGCGAGGGGGCGACGGCGGCTTCCGGCGGCAGCGGCGGGCGGTGCGGCCGCATCCGCCTCGCTGCCTCCGCGCGACCCGTCCCCGCGCGCCGCGGGGGGCGGTGGCGCCGCCGCTGCCGCCGTCTCTGCCCTTGTCCCTATCCCTTCCCGCGGCGGCGCTGGCAACCCTCGCCACCCTCCTCCTCGTCCTGGTGAGAGCCGCGCACCGCGGTCATGGCGGGCCCGGGGGTCTCCGTGGCGGGGGCGGTGCGCCAGACCGCCCCGTGCCCGCCCCCGCGTTGCGGAGCGGGGGCACTGCCCGCGAGTCGCGGCCCTGCCAGGGGGTCCCAGGGGGCTGCGGCGGGCCCGGGCAGGGCTGGCCCTGGAGCAACGGGTGGCATCGGGAGCCGTGCGGGCATCAGCCGGCGGGGCTGCTCTGGTGCGGGAGTTGGTGCAGGCAAGGCGTCCGGGGACCTGCGGAGGGGATAAAGACGCCTTGGGAAATGTGGTAACGCCCGTTCGCGGTAGCCATTTGGGAAATCGCTGTTTCTCTGCATGGCTGAAATACCCTGCAAGTTGCAGAAATTGGACACCGTGGAAGGTGGAATTCTGCTGCCTGTCCGCAGTGCCACGTATGCCTCCTGCCTGGGGAGGTGGCGGAGTCCTCCTGTCCACATATGCCTCCTGTCCCTGGAGGTGTTTCCTGGACGTGGCGCCCAGTGCCATGGTGTAGGTGACATGGTGGTGTTCGGTTGTAGGTTGGACTTGATGATCTCAGAGGTCTTTTCCAACCTAATTGATTCTGTGATTCTGTATGTGGTGTCACCAAATAAAGTGCTCCAAACCCCAAGTTCCATGGCTTTATTTTAGCTATTCATAAGGTGATCAGAGCCTCTGTTTTGCAAGCACATGTGACTGGCTGGTCATGAGCCAAGGCCTTGATTTCAGTGGCACAGGGTGGGATCAGAGGCCGCACCAGTTTGTGTGCTTGAGATTACTTGGGGAAGGGGCTGTGTGTGCTTGGACCACAACTTTGGAGGCATCTGCATACTTTGCAGTCAAAAATAGTAACAAGCCAATGATGGTGACAGTGCTCAGACTAAGAGTAACCAAACGGCATGAGAGGATTTTAGTCCTGTGTGATTCAATCAGTGGGTGAAGTTCCACAGCATTGACCCACCTCATTATTGAAATACATTTGGTTGCCCTTTGTAGCACATTCAACAGCTAGGTCAACTTCTAATAGAATGGTCAACAATTTTTCTTATTTCTTTTTCATCATAGATTTGTGCAATTGCTTATGTAACTCCCCAAAAATGCCAACCCTTCACCGACACAAAGAAGAGAAATTCTTCATAAACGCTAAAGGCAGGAAAGAACCTGTACCAAGTATACATGATCCCCCTACAAGGGAACTCTGTTGTGGTGCCTTCATATGACGAGGAAGACTGGTGTAAGATTTTTCTTGTTTTGAGGAAAAGAAAATCTATCTGTTGTTATTGTAATAATGCAGAGGTCAGTTATGTTTGGGGTAGATTCTGGCAGGCCAGATTATGTGTCAGATTTTGGACACAATTTCCAGAAAACAGTCCATTTACATTGAATTTCAAAATTAAGTCATTGTGTAACTTGATTTCTGCTGCAAAAAATAGCATGGGGCACTTGTAAGAGTCCTCTGTTTTAATGAACCCCAGAAGAATGATTGTTCATTGCTCCTGTAAATGCTGCAAGGCAAGAAGTAAAAAAAAAGACTTTTAAAACTTATTTGAGAGCTTTCCACTCTTTAAACAGCAGCAGCTTCAAACGAGCAGAAAAAAGGATGATCTCACAGGTTTGTGTTTGACTTGGCCATAGATATGAGTACCTGATATTGAGTGAAGGCTTTCAGATGTGATAGAAATAATTAAACATGGTAGTACACAAGCTGTCAGCTTGCTTAAGTAGATAGTCAGTGCTGGTTTTCAAGGTCAGTCATGAAGAATGATTTCTTTTTCTTCTAATCTTGTGTAGAGAATTACAAATTTCAAAATGCAAAATTGGTTCCTCAGAAGAAATATCTTTATCATGTCTTTTATCATGTGTGTGATTTTCTTCAGTGTTCTTTTTGCATTCAGAAAGGACAGAACTTCAAGTTGCAGCTGCTAAGCTTGTTTGCTGAAGGTAGTGTCATATGAAAGAGTCGATTTGCTCAGCTTTGCTTTGTGGTTGTTTACAGCTTGCTTGTGAAAGTGCTTTTGGTGCTTTACCTGTTATAATCTACTAACCTGACCTCCTCTACCTTTTCTCTAGTACCTCTTATGATGGATAAAGCTTTGGATTATCTAGAAAAAAGACAGGTATTTTCTTTTTGCATTCAAAATTCATTATTTTTTGGTGTATTATGTATAATAAGCAGTGATCTAGTTACTTTGTTATGTTGGTGTATATTAAACAGTAATACTTGGCTACTTAGAAGTAACACTTCTGTCTCTTATCAGTTATTTTTAGATCAATTGCAAAAAAGTATTTTTAAATTAAGTAATAATTTAATATACTGCTATGGGATGAAAAAATCTTCATGTGAATGTTATCTTTCCAAGACAAAGCTAAAGATTAGCCATACATTTAACTTTCTAAACTAAATCCTAGTTTGTTCCAACAAGTTTCTTAAGTATCTGTTCTTCATTATAATTTGTTCTCTAGGTAAGAAGCCCATTGTGAAAGTTTGTGGATTTTGTTCTTTTTGGGTTTTCTCAACAGTGATAATGTTCCGAGTGTTCATCTTTTACAATTGAATTGATTTTTCAGTTCTGGATGGTAGCATGACAACCCAGTGTAATGGTACATTCATCAAGTATGATGAAATTCTTTAATTATGCCATGTTAACAAATTTACTATATCATATTAGTGTCCGTTGGCAACCATGAATGATTTAAAACCTACTGGAGAGAAAAGAATAATGATGTTTGAAAGACCTACTGCCTACTTAAGAAATTAATTAAATATATTATTTCTGCCTTTATTTTCAAGAAGCGAGACTTATGAAGTCATAGTGGTTAATGATGGCAGTAAAGATCAAACTACAAAGGTAAGAAAAACAATTGTCTTCCCAAGCAATCAGAGGTGTGGGGTTTTGTTATACATTTCTGGAATGTAACAGTTTTTTGCATTTATATTTTGGTACTTGAAATAGTTGACAATAGAAGTTCATATTTCTGAGTGCTTTCTGTCATTGTTCTTTATACATCGTGGATGTCACGTATGCACATGAATACACATATAATTCTTCTGCAAATTCTAGTTTTCTTGGTTGGCTACTGTTACTGCCATTTTCCTGCAGCTGAGATTCTCAGAATTCTAACCCTAACTTCAAGAAATTTCTTACAAAATACTCTTATGTATGCATAGTGATGATGTGAATATGAACTTGAGGAAGCTAAAAAGTCTTTTAAAATACCCAGTTCATACTGTGATTGACAGAACATCTGACATAGTTCTTCTTCACACTCTTCATGGCATTGTTTATTTAAAAATCCCTATGTCAGTAGTAGTATTTTCAAAATAGTTCTGTATTCTTCTGGTTCAACTTTGATGTCTGTCACTGGAAAGGAAGGCTCACTAACTTGGGGGCTTTTTTCACTACTGCTTGGAAGATGTTTGAGGTAGCTACTAAAATGCATACTGCTTTTTGATTTACTTTCCTTAAGCTTGTCCATTAAGGATTGCTCATAAATATTTTTGACTACCGTGCATTCCTTCTGGCATCTCTTTTAACTGAGCATACAACGGCTGCAGGCCTCTGGACTTACAAGCACTCAAGACAACCTTTAGAAAAAAATAAGATGAGAAAATCCGTGCTTTCTCTTCCTCACAGCATGGAACAAAATCTGCAGATCTTTGCAGTGTGAATGGGATTTTAGATCAATGTGAATTTTTCTTTAAAACCACAAACAGCAGCAAGACAAGTGATAAATAGGTGGCTGTAGTAGAAAATTATATTTCTTTTATTAACTCTTGGTGTTAATATAAAAGGTCTGTAATAGTATAAGTTAAATTAGGTTTGAGGTTTTTGGAGGTGGGAGGATGGGGTTTGGAGTATCCTGTTCTTTTGAATATGACTAGTTTCTTCAGTCTTCTTGTTTTGACTGTGAACTGGTTTTTATTTTCCCGAGCAGACTCCAGTGAACACTGGCAATGTATTTGTGCTGACTGAAGTGGTTATACCTCTGTGCTGTTAATTTATTTTCTTTTAAAGGGTGAGCAAACGTAAACTTCTACCTTGATTCCTGGGTTTGTTTTATGCTGGTTTTTTGTGTGTCTGTCAGGTTGCAATGGAGTACTGCAAGAAATATGGAAGTGACAAAGTGTAAGTGCTTTCTTCGGTAAAAAGTCGAGGGAAAGGAGGAGCAGTCAGCATGGTAATAGATACTTTCATCTCCTTCTCTGTTTGAACCACCAAATATGCAGAAGATAGACTTGTGCTGATTGACATTTTGAATTCAATGCATTAACAAAATGATTATGAGAAAACTGAGTACAGATTCTATAGATTAAAGCAAAACCTGTTTTTCAAAATAAACTTATTTGAGATCTTGGAAACAGTATTTTCTTGCCAGGAAGATCAATAATGAAGACATTTTTTTTGTATGAGATTTCAAAGGGAAAAAAACCCCTTGAATTTCATATTCATGTTAGTTCCACTTAGAAATAGACTTGTGTTTATAAAAGCCAACCAAAAAAAAAAAAAAAAACCAACCAAACTGTTACAGATTAAAGTTAAGTTTTTGTAGACAAAATACAGCCAAATTTCCAAACTTTGTTCTTCAGGTCATAGATGTGTTTTTTAAAATGGCTAACAAAGAAGCATTTTCATCCTGCAAAGTTTGTTTTTACTGAAGCCCACTGTCATCACCCACACTCGATAGCAGAAACAGCACAATTTATGCTTTCACATAGACATTATCCTGAAATCATGTTGTCCTAAAAATAAAATAGCTGTTACGCATTTAGAAGGAATATTTTTTCCTAAGATGAATAACACTTTACTTTTACAAAAAAGGGTAGTATCATCTGTGAGTTATCAGTGACTTGTCTTTATCTGTATTTTATGCTCTATCTTTAATGTGTCAATTTTATTTTTTTATGAAAAATGAGTAATATAGGAAATGGAGAGAACATTATATTAGAACACATGGAGCTTTTGTAAGGTATATACTTCTGAAGTTATTTCAAGAGAAGGAGAAAATCCTCTGTGTGATACACTTTTGCAGTGCAGAGTGTAGAGTGTATGCTTCCTTGACAAGGTTTTCCAAACTCACACATGCTTGGCTGTGACAGTACTTTGGTCAAACCCACTGCTAATTGTTTTCCTATCTGGACCCCTTCAAAAATTGTGAAATTTTTCTGACCAAGCACATGGCAAAGCAATCTGTGAGACCTGTGCATCACAAACATTTTGCAGTGATACTGTGACTTAAGACTGAATCTTAAATTAGTTTTGAGAAATAACTCTTGAATTCTCTTGAAACAGTGTTGGGAAAAACTACCTCTGCATCCTCCTTTCCATAGCTGAAATGACATAGAAAAGCCATTCAGTGCACTGGCAGCTGCTAATCACTGCTTCTTGTGCTCCCTTCTACAGCTGACTAGCAACTTGTTGACTTTTAGATTTTGGTTTGTGAAGCTTTTAGTTTGGAACCTTCTCTTTAGAGGGATTGTTAGCCTTTTGTGTCATGCATTGTGTGTCACTGTGGGACACCTCACAGTGTGTAAAGTCTCTAGATGTTATTATAATATAAGTTGGTAAATTGGGGTTAGTAGCAGAATATTAAGACTCAATTGTGAGATATCTCACTCTGTGAAATATCACTGTTCTTGTTACTACATTAGATTTTTGGAGTCTTTTGCATCTAGCTTATGACAAATACTGATTTCGAAAGTGTTGATTTTTACTGACTATTTTCATTGGAGGGTGTCTTTAGTTCCCGGGGGAAGAAAATTCTTATGGCTGATGCAGATGGAGCTACAAAATTTGCAGATATTGAAAAAGTAGAAGAAGGTCTAAAAAATCTCCAGCCATGGCCTGTGAGTATAAATTCTCATGGCTTTAGTTTAATACATATGCACAGAGATTGACTTTTGTAATTCTCTTCAACTTTTTTGAAATCCAGTTGATGTAGTCTGAAGACCTAGGTGTAAGCTTAGAAGCCTCAAGAATGGGCGGTCAGAAAGAGCTTCCACAGAGTTCTTAACTGCTTTGCATCCAGTGGGCCTACTTCAATGCAGTACAGAATGCTCTATTTATCCTTCCTTTAACTTCTTTGAAGTTGTTCTGTTCTGTATAAATACCATGTGTTGCCTACTTAGTTTTCTTTGGTAACTGTTTTGTATTTTCATTTTATCTGATGTCATCCTGTATACCTTTAAGGATGCATCTTAATTTCACCTTCTTTTAAAGAGGTTTTCTTTTCTCAGAGTCCTTAGTTAAATGACAGTGTTTGGAAGAACTTTTATTGTAAATAAAAATTCAAAAACCTGGGGAACAAGAACACCTCCCTGGATAGTCATTCTTTTTTGAGAGCTTGACTTGAAAGAACTGAGGTTAATTTTCTGCTTAAACACAGATGAGTGAGGTACTTGTAGCTAGTTTCCCAAAGTGCCAGAAGTGATGTGCAAGCTTCCAGCCAGAGCTGCAAGGGATGTGCCTGTGGAATGGGTCATAGTCTGTGAGTTCAGAAGCACAAGTACAGGAGCCAACAGGCAGCAGTGTGACTCTGATGCTTTTTGCTACGAGGGCAGCAGCAGCTCTAGATTTGAGAGATTTTATGTGAGAAATAGTAGCACGAGAACGATGCTAAACCTTTCGTTTTCATTGCATTTATTTAATTTGAGGTTATATGTTTGTCTAACACCATGGCATTTTATTTGTTTGAAGGTACATCAGTGCAACAAGTACTTCATTCTGTTACCCTTCCATTGCACAATATTTAAGGAAAACATTCAGTTCCTAGGAATGCTGCACGCTTATCTGTGCTGTTAAACATATATACTGTATTCATACAGTAAACAGTGTAAGCTAAACCAAACCTGAATAAATTGAAGTAATTTGTATGCACCATATGCAAACTGTAATAAACTTTAGATTATCTGTAAACTGTAGAAAAAACTGATTTAGGCTCAGAATTTAGCAGTAGAAGAAGTGCAGCTATAAGAAGCAGAAAAGTATAGTGCTTTGAAGTTTTTATGTGGTTCTCAACACAAGATTACACTGATTCTGAAATACTAGTTTAAGTAATAACTTTTTAATTTATATTTCTAGAGCTTATCTGCTCTACAGATTCTGCAATTAAAGAATCAATATTTGTAAAAGAATGGAAGCTAAAAATAAGGAAAAGATTGTCGTAAGTTTAGGATGTGCTCCATCATATACAGAGGATGTGTTCTGGATTTCAGGCACTTTGTACTTGTTTCAGTCAGTGTTCCAATTTATGGATTTAATTTTTCGAGTTGAGGACATGTCACAAACAGAGCCTCTAAACCCTGATAAAATTGGTAACTAGTAACCAGTACTGGGGCTAGAGTGGAAGGAAAATGAGTTCATTTATTACTGATTCCCTTCCAGTGCAAGAGCTTGACCTGCAAATCTTGAAACCTGTTTAAAGTGATTTAAGGATAATTAGCAGCCAACTGTTTGAAGACTATCTCAATTCTTGGTAAAGTGGTGTAATTTTTCTTTATTACTCATTGTAAAATTTGTGAGTTTTGAACACACAGACAGTGCTGGCTATGTGTGGCTCTTGTGGAATAAACAGTGATGCATAGGCACATGACCTTATCTTGCATCTGGTTTTCTGATGTCTTGGCAGAGAGTAGTTGACAAAGTACAGGCATGGGACTTGTATTGCAACAGACACGTTGCTGGGCTCATTTTTTCAGCATCATTGGTTGTGCTCATCATGTTGAATGTTTTCATGAGTAAGCTTTGTTTATACTGATGCTTAATACTTGAAATAATTCTAAAATATATACACAACTACTAAAACAGTTACAAAAGTTCAAAACAAGATACACTGGTAATGTTCAGAAATT